AGATGTTTACATAAATGAATAGTTGTAAATTTTCTGTTATTAAATAGTTCTTTAATTTTAACATATTCTTACCAATTTTTAAAAAATTGTCTCATTTATGCTAAAATGAGTTTCAAGAGCTTGGAACTCATTGTGACATATCATTATGGATGTATGAGACTAAATAAATGGCTTGTAGGGCACATGGGCAGCAAAGATGGCGCTGAGAGGGAGTTGAGTGGGCAGAGCCCGAGTTGTTTATGTTAAAATCTGACTGGGTACCACAACCAGGCGAAGTGACATCAGCGCGTGAACAGCTCAAGGACAGCAGGGAAAGGATAGAAAGCTTAGGCGCTTAGGCGCATCATAGGGTGACCTCTACAGTGATTGGCTGGTTCCTTTTCCTCCCCTTCCATGCCACGTGGTTTTTTGCTTTAAAAAGTGCTTGCTGTTGAGACTGGGAAGGTGGCTCAGTGGTAGAGCGCTTACCTTGCATGCATGAGGCCCTGGGTTCGATTCCTCAGCACCACATAAGCAAAAAGAAAAAAAGCCGGAGGTGGCACTGTGGCTCAAGCGGTAGGACGCTAGCCTTGAGCTGAAGAGCTGAGGGACAGCGCCCAGACCAAGAGTTCAGGCCCCACGACAGGACTACAAAAAAAAAAAAGTGCTTGCTGTGTGGTAATAAATGAGTTCCTGTTTGACTTGACTCCCCGCTGTGTCTGACTGTCTCTGAGGCTAAGGGAGGCTGGGGAACGGGCAGGGGGTAAGAGGAGCCCACTTACCTTTCCTCGAACCCCGACCATCTGGACCAAGACCCAACAATAGCTAATGAGCAAAAACTATTCAACATAGAAAGAAATCATAATAACAATAAAAATAGTCAAGTAGGATATGTTTGTTAAGCATAGAATGAAAGGAATGGAAGAACCAAAAGATAGCTAATTTTCAGTACACATTAAACATACATGAGACACCTGTGCCTTAAATATTCATGATACACTAAAATACCTAAATATTCATTAGTACTCAATATTCATGAGGCCTTAATTCAGCCACTCATTCATTGGCAACACCCACTCTGGCCCCATGTACCCTCTGTTCAAGAAACACAAACAAAGCCATTATTATTCAGCAGGGTTACTGGTGAGCTATAGCTGTAGCCAAGCATACTCAATCCCGCATGTTGCCAACTGAGCAAGTTTGTGTTCTTGGTCCTGGGCTTTCTGTCTTCTCCTTGCTTGATCCTTTATTCTGTTCTCCAAACCACACTATTCATAAGCAAGAATGCTGAAGAAGAGAAAGAAAACAATTGCCTACCACAGAATTCAAGTAGAGTCAACCCTGCACTGAACTTGCTGACTGTAAACCTACCCTATTTTCCCCTACTTTTTCACTGTGCTTTTCAGACTGTTTATATTTTTTATTTTGTTCTGCAGTACTAGAAACAGAACATATATCAGGCAAGCGCTCTTCCAATGAATTACCTTCTGATCCTTCACTATACATTTTGAATTATATTAATCTACCATGTGATTCAGACATTTTAATTTGGCCCTTGAACCATCTGTTCTGTGGCCTCTGGGAGAGCCTTAATGTATGCTTCTGATAGGCTACCACTGCTTCAAGTTAATATTCCACAGTTGCTGTGTAAAGAACAGACTCTGGGAGGAGTCAAACTTGAGAAAGGGAGATAACAGTAGACAGCTATGTCTAGTATCCCACTAAGTCAAAAGATGAGAGTAAGGCCTGTAACCAGTGGCAGAGTGCTCTAGTAGCATGTATGAGGTCTTGAGTTTGATCCCAGCACCACAAACACACACACACACACACACACACACACACACACACACACACGCATCATTATGGGGCCTATGTCTGTAATCTCAGAGGATTACCTCCTACAAAGTTAGGAAGATCACAGTCTGAGGCCAGCCCTTATACAAAAGTGTAAGATCCTATCTAAAAACAAACTAAAGCAATAGGGAGGGAGGCATAGCTCAAGTGGTAAAGTGCTTGCTTAGTAGACAGGAGATTTTGAGTTAAATAAATAAATAAGAACAGTTTAGTTGTGGGTCAAAAAGACATGGAACCCTCTCTAAAATCCAGTCTTTCATACAACCTCCAAGCCCAGACCCCAAGGTCTGTGCCCCTCACTGGCAATAAACAGTCTTAGTGTTTTGAAAAAGAATCATGGGATGGATTCAGGATATGTTTTCTTAAGAGAATTAAAAAGGATGGCATTCAATTATGAGCAATTGTGAAAAGTAAAAAGGAAAGGACTTTTGTCAGAGAAAGCAATTTCTAAGTCTGAGATATTGAAGATAGAATACTCCAAAACACAAAGAAAGACATTACATCCAAAAATTATGGGTCTTTGAGCAACAAAAGACCCCAGAAATGCATTTATGTAAATCGCCAAAAAACCCACTGAAGTCCTCTCCTATATCTATACCAATGGAGAAACAAACATATGACTTCCCACTCCTCCACTCAAGGCCAACATTCCTGTAAGTCCATCTTATGTCAGCCACTACAACTTTTGGTAGATCCCTGATACAAATTTCTTCTTTTTACTGACCTGAACTCTGAGGCCTGGTTGTCATCCTTGAGAATAAAAAAAAACAAATAAGACATTTCCTTACTTATCTAAAGGCATTTATCAGGCACACTTGAGTCTTTTCATTACAAACAAATATCATTTTCTATTATTCTATCTTACACATAACAATTTTTAATCTTTTTAACATTGTGTTTGCTGTCTCATGAAGGTATTGAAAACTTGATATCACCCCAAAGGAAGGACCCACAACACAAAGAGAAGAAATAAGTCATCTCTTTTAATATCTTCTATAGTCTAATGCAGTGTAGGATTAGTTTCCCTGGTGGCCATGTCACAGAGTTAAGACTTATCTGTGACTAAAATGGATTGCAAATAAAGGTAGACTGTCAGGTATGAAGTGAAGGAACAAGAACTCTCTGTTGAGCTACTATAAGAGTTCATTTTTATTGACAACTTGATTGAGAAGGGCCTAAGATATTATTAGTAAAACACACATCTGGATATATCTATGAGGATATTTCAAGAGACAATTACATCATTAGGCCTCTGACATACGACTATCTTAATCCACTGATGGATTCATAATGTGAAGACTATGGTGGTAGAACTGTAGAAGGTGGGGCAGACTGGGTAAAGTCATTAGGGATATGTTCTTGTCCTACTGTAGCTACTTCCAGGTATTGTTTTCTTCTTCTTGTTTGCCATTATGTGTACTACTCTACTCTGTCACACTCTTCTTTTTTTTTTTTTTTGTAGGTCGTGGGGCTTGAACTCTGGGCCTGAGCGCTGTCCCTCAGCTCTTCAGCTCAAGGCTAGCGCACTACCACTTGAGCTACAGCACCACTTCCGGTTTTCTAGTGGTTTATTGGAGATAAGAGTTTCACAGACTTTCCTGCCCAGGCTCGCTTTGAAACTCCATCCTCAGATCTCAGCCTCCTGAGTAGCTAGGATTACCGGCACCCAGCTGTCACACTCTTCTTGAAAAAAGACTGAAACCTCTGAAATTGTGAACCAAAATAAACCTTCCCTGCTTAAAATTGTTTCTACCAGGTATTAGGTGACAATAACAATAAAACTAATATAGGCTATAAGTTTTTTATTACCATAAATGATATTAGTTAACATTATGAGGATGAGGAAGGGATGATTGAAATAAATATTAGCAAATTTAAGAGAAACAATATCAATCTGGAAGTGGCAGTGGAGAACAACTGTCTCTTCTCAGAAGAGACGAGGCATTAGGAAGCAATGCACTTACGGCAAAGAGAGCAAACAATTTGGGAACAAAGTCAAAGACAAAGGAAAGTTTGCTTATATTAGAGCAGCACTTGAAAGAAAATACACATAAAGAGAATGGGCCAATGCTGAGGTATGAGGGGTGGAAGGCTGATAAGTCCCTGCTATTAAGTACTTGTTAACAATATATATATATATATATATATATATATATATATATATATATATATATATATATTCACCACTGCCAAATATCTAACTACTTAGCATGATTTTTTTTAAGCTGAAGAAAAGTCAGGCTATGGTGCCTCACACTTGTAATCCTAGCTACACAGGAGGATGAAAGAAAACATTCAAGAAACCCTTTCCCAATAAAGAGCTGGGTACAGTGGTGAGCACCTGTTTTCCTACCTAGCAGGAAGCCTAACATAGGTGGATTATGCCCAGGTGTATATGTGGACAGGAAACAAAAGCCTATCTCAAAAAATAAAGAGTAAAAAGTCAGGGCTGGAGGCATGACTCAGCAGTAAGAGGACCTGCTTAGTCAACAGTGAGGCCCTGAACTCACACTTCAATATTGCCAGATTATAATTAATAATAAACAGCTGGGCACTGGTGGCTTATGCTTGTAATCTCAGCTACTCAGGAAGCTGATATCTGAGGATCAAAGTTTGAAGAAAGCCTACGCAGAAAAGTCTGAGTCTCACATTTCCAATTAATCAGCAAAGAGCCAAAAGTATGGTTCAAATGGTAGAGTCCCTTGGGCAAAAAACCCAGGCAAGAATGCCAAGCTCTGTGTCCAAGCCCCAGTACAAACATTGCCAGGCATCTGTAATACTAGCTACTCAGGAGACTGAGATCTGAAGATTGCAGTTCAAAGCCAGACTGAGCAGGAAAGTCCATGAGGCACTTATTTCCTGGGACAGTGCTCAGGCCATGAGTTCAAGTTCCAGGACCAGCAAAAAAACAAAGAAAAAAACCTAATAAAAATAAAAATAAATATGGGGGAGACGGGGAGGGGGGAAGAAAAGTGGTAGAAAAATGAGGAGGGGTAACAAGTTCGACAAGAAATGTACTACTTATGTATGTAATTGTAACCCCTCTATTGACAATAAAATTAAATTTAAAAATAAAAATGAATATAATAATAAATAATAAACAAATGGTTTAAAAGGGTTTAAAATGGTTTAAATGCAAGACTGATACTGCCAATTTAAAACTATACCTTGAAGCAGTCCACTATTTCGCAACTGTGGCTCATTTACTTCAATTGTGTCATCCTCAGGATAGAAGTAGATTTTATAGACTCTTATTCTATAGTCTTCTTGTCTTTTATCAGGTACTTCATCTTCCATATAGGCATCAAAACATAATACCTGTTGGAATCATAATTAGAAGCCATGAAAACATGCAGCAAATTTAAAACCCATAAATTGTTAATGTGTATACTTTTGGTGAGTGAAAAGAGTTGGAAGGATTTTTTTCCAAGAAGAGTTTCTACACATCAAAAATGGAGAATGGAGATCTAATCATGGTTATACTACATGGAAATTATTTCAACTGTCATGATATTTTGGATCAAAACAAAGAAATTGTATTCAGGAAATAAATCTATCACTGAGATCTAACAGAAAGTTAACTGCAGTCTGTCTTTGGAATTTCACCATGGGATTTTAAATTCATGTGTTAGACACACAAAATAAATTTGCTCACACTGTGAAAACAAGTTTTATTACAATACTTAATATGTGTATGTGAAAACTGAACCAGGTAACTTGAAGGAATGAGTGAGGTTCTGATTTCAGATGGGAGACTTCGATGGAAGGGGTGACACTGAACAAGATGCATTGTACTCATAAATCGACATGTGGAATTGAAACTCCTTTGTATAACTGTTTAAAGATAACAAATATAAATTTTAAAAAACAGCAAAGTAGCTAGGTGCTGGTGGCTCACGCCTGTAATCTCAGCTACAAAGGATGCTGAGATCTGAGGATTGTGGTTCAAAGCCAGCCCAGGCAAGAAGAACCTGGAGACTCTCAGTTTAGATGGGGTCTTGTGACCTTGTTGTTGCCTTGAATGCTCTGGAATCATAATCCTCCCTCAAACCTGTTACACATAGCTGAAATGACAGGTTAAAATGAGGGCTCTCAAACTTTGGGCCTATACTAGCTTTGAAATCATTCAAAGCTAGTAATCTGATACTATAGATTTCCAATGCTTAGGTAGCTAAGCTTATAAGGATGAGCCACCAGTAATTAGACCTGGTTGGCACTGGTGATTTTTCAAGCTCCCAAAGTAATCATAAAACGCAAACCAATGTTGAGAATTACTGCTAAAGAACATTTTCAGTACTGTACTTAAAATTCAAAGAACCTAACTCAAAAACAAGCAAGCACTATTTAACAGACCCATTAATAGTCATAAGTCACCTATTAATTTTTTAAAGCAGCATTATTTTCACAGGTGCAAGGATAGTGCCAAAGAAAGAGGCTTGAAAAAATGTGTAAAGAAGTCATACTGTTTCCTACCAAGTACATTTTAAAATGTAACATTTTCTTGTTAAGTTCCTTAACAAGATTACAAAACATGTGCTTTAAGACAACAGTCTTAAAGACATCATCATATTTAATTAAACTATATGGCATCCTTATCAGGAACAAAACAACAATGCCACTAAAGTAATGTTATTTGTTTTTAGGAGTTCTGGACAATGTAAAAAATATGAAATAAAAATACTAGTAAGCAAGAGACATAAACACAGAGAGAGACAAAATGATGACAGAGATAAAAATCTAAGCATAAAAAATTTAAATTTTAAAAACTAATGTGAAGCCACTGGCTCATGCTTGTAATTGTAGCTTCTCAGCAGACTGAGATCTGAGGATCATGGATCAAAGCCAGCCCCAGCAGGAAAGTCTGTGAGACTTTTATCTCCAGCTAACTATTCAGAAAAAGCTAGAAGTGTCACTGTGGCTCAAGCGCTAGAGTGTGAACCTTGAGCAAAAAGAAGCTCAGAAACATTATCAAGGACCTGACTTCAAGCCCCATGAATGGCAAAAAAGTAAAAAATAAAATAAAATAAAATTTAAAGCTTGGGCTGGAAAGGTGGCTCAGTGATAGAGTGCTTGCCTTGCATGCATGAGGCCCTGGGTTCGATTTCTTAGCACCACATAAGCATGAAAAAAAAGCCGGAAGTGGCACTGTGGCTCAAGTGGTAGAGCGCTAGCCTTGAGCTAAAGAGGTGAGACAGCACCCAGGCACAGAGTTCAAGCCCACGAACGGACCAGAAAAAAAAATTTAAAGCTTAATATAAATAAAAGTTTTCAATATATCGAGATCACAATTTCACATTCTAGATCACATAGATCTTAAACAATTCTAGTTAGAAAATACAATGGGCATGAACGTAATTTCTCAAACAAGTAAAAATTACAAAATACAGTTTTGATTGAAACTATGACCCAAATGAAATGCAAAATAATGACTAAAAAATATAGGAGTATTTCCCTAAACAGATTGGAAATATATTCTAGAGAGGCAGAGTAAAATAATATATTTCAAGTAATATTTTATTATGTTTTGGATGTACTTAATTCTGGCAACCTGATTAAAAAATAAATAACATAGTCTATTACACAGTTGTAAAAATTAAACTATGGAAGTCTAGCATTCCCAGATTTTATAGCTAAATATAATGCATCAATTTTTCAAATGGTGTAATACCAGAGTACCTGAGACATACTAGTAGGTAGGAAAGAAGATTATGAAAATAAACTGTACAAAAATTAAATGCATACTGAAAAAAAATAACATACCAATAAAAGAAAAAAAGACTCACTTGGAAAAGATGGATGAATATCAACAAGTTAAAATCTCAGATACATAATCAGCTTTAATATAACAAATCAATGCCTTTTGGCCATCAGAGGGTAAAAGATAAGGAAAGCCTCAGATTGAGGGAAGAGTGACAAGTGGAGGACTAAGGGGTGGGGGCAGTGGCTGCATGGAAGCCATAAGTGGGGGAAGGCAGAGGAGGCAGGGGACAATGGCATGGTAAAAGTGCATGCAAGGCAGACAGCATGGAAGATATCATAGGGAAGGAGGCCAGATTGGAAGAAGGGGCTAAAGCGAGAGGGCAGTAGCATCAAGGCTACATGGAAGAGAAGGGCATGGAAAGGAGAGGAGGGTTTCATGGCACCATGGATGCATAGGGTGGCACAGAAAACATTCAAGAAAATTTAAAATTTGGCTATTAATGAAAAAATTGGGAAATATGACAAAACTGTATGACATTTTAAATTAATATCTAAGCATCATAAAAGAGAAGAAAAAAGCTTAAACAAAACTCAACAAAGCATTCAGTCTAATAGAGCACAGGGTATATGCAAATTGAACATACAATAAAGGCCGATTTGGTTGTGTGTCCCCTGTCCCATTGGGCAGGACCCTATGAGAAAAGGGAGGGTAACGCAGGACAAGGGGCCAAGAGTGGGCAGGACCCAGTGGGACGTGGGGGATGTGCAGGCAAGGGAGGTCTTGGAATGGAAGGTCATGCAGAAAGGAGAGGGAATGCGCGGGGGTCCCTTCGGACACCGGGCTATCCAGACAGGACAGAAAGTGGCACACAGGGCAGAAAGCCGATCCCCCAGTGACTATGCGGGATAGGCGCCTGGCCCCTCAAGGGCTGGGGAGAATATGCCGCAACAAGAAAATATGCCGCACATTACCTGACTTGTGTAACTTTAACCCCTCTGTCCATCACCTTTACACTAACAATGAAAAAATTTTAAAGTAAATATGCAACAGTAAGAAAACTACTTTAGCTTTGCATTAACGTTAAGTGAATAGAACAGAAGACACAAAATGGCTGTATTTCACCATGTTCTCAAAGCGCATAGACTTTCAAAGGCAGTGAGTACTTCATTGAAAGTGTTTAGTAAAAATGCAGCCTTTATGTTTGTACATTTTTTAGTATCAGTACAAAAAGCAAGCAGATTAAAGGATTCAAGGCATGCCAATGTTGTAGATAAGGGGAGAGCAAGGCAATGGCCAGGGCGGCCGTCCCAGATGTAATCACGCACTCGATGCAGGTCATAGACATAAAATGGTGGCCGCAATGACTGCGGCACACGAATGCCTAGCCAGGCTGAAGAATGACAAAGATGGAAGTGATTCAAGGGACAGCAGTGGGGAAGGGCCTATGAGGAAAGTGGCCCGAGGGACCCGCTTTTCCAGCCTGGCGAGAAGGGAGTGGTGGGGGCTGAAGTGGCTGGTGTTCACGGTCTGATCCTCGTGGCTCCCTATGAACAAACAGCCAGACCCAGAAACAAACTGTGTGTGACATCCAAAGCACTTGGGGTGGTCCTTGGCATCTCAGAAATGCCTCGTATCCCAAACGTCAATTTGTCTGTCAGTGTGCCGGTCCGGGGTCTGGAACTCAGGGCCTGGGCACTGTCCCTGAGCTTCTGTTTTTCTTTCCTGAGTTCGTTTTGGCTCAAGGCTGGTGCTGTACCATTTGAAGCAGGTCCCCTCCCTGGGGCTGAGAAATCTTCCTATCTTAGCCTCCCAGGCAAGCAGCTAGCGGCACCTTTGCCTCTGACAGCCCCTTGGTCACCACCCACGTCAACTTGCGGCTTCAGAACGCCCGTTTTTGATGTCCCGGAAGTACTTTGCTATGACCCTGAGGAGGCTGGTGGACGCAACAGCAAGGAGCCAAGGCATTGTGGGACAAGAGCTTCCGGAGCCGGACGCCATTACAGGTGTCGTCGGTCCGCGAGCTCTGTGCATTCTCCACAGCTCTTCGGAATCCCACTGGGAAAGACTCTGGAATCTCTACTATGCTGAAAGACATGGCCAAGTGTTGAAAGGGTTCCGAAGGGTTAGGAACTGGGCAACATCGAGTGCCACAGGAGCAACCCTTAGGTGAGATCCCCCGAGATCATGGCGGTGGCAGGGCCGGCACCTGGTGCCTGAGGGGGGCCGTGGGCGAAGGGGGAGGAGAGTTGGAAAACCGTTTGAGAATGCCACGGGGTGTCCTGTAGTGGGGGTCGCAGGCCCTGAACACGTAAAAGCCCACCGGTAAGAGAGAGCCCCTCAGGAATATGGCGGCGGCGGTGCCAGCTGCCTGAGGGGAGAGGGGGAGGGGAGGCGGCGAAGGGTGTGCAGGGCCTGAGGAGTGTCCTGGAGGGGGGGTCTGACACTGAGGAGTGTCCTGGAGGGGGGGTCTGACACTGAGGAGTGTCCTGGAGTGGGGGGGGGGGTCTGACACTGAGGAGTGTCCTGGAGGGGGGGTCTGACACTGAGGAGTGTCCTGGAGGGGGGGTCTGACACTGAGGAGTGTCCTGGAGTGGGGGGGGGGGTCTGACACTGAGGA